AAAGATCATATCGTATCTCCTAAGTAAACACAAAAAAGAAACGTTATATTATAGTAGATCAACCCTTAGTGTGGATACAACTCCTATTGTTGTCAGTGGAAAGACTCCCATTTACTTCAGCAGGAGTTTGTGTGGATGTTACGTTTTGGTATATAACTGAGCAGGAACCTAAATGATGAAAACAGTCAATGGAATTAAGGCTCTTAGCTCTTAGGCTCCTAAATCATTTAGGCATCTCAATGCTAAGCCTGCAACACCTAAACACCTTTAAAAATTTGGGCCAAAGCCCATTGAAGTCAATAGGAGCCTATCCATTGGCTTCAATAGGCTTTGGACCAGCCTCAGTGAGTTATTTTCCACTCAATCTCTAGGATCATTCTATTTGTATTATGGTACATACAACCTTTTATATACACTTGTTGAACAAAATCACACATAATTCTATGTTTGCAGTGTTGTTGTACTCATGTTGGTCCCAGGATACCAGTCAGGTGACGTGAAAAGGTTGGTGAGGTAGTATCTTTTAAATGGGCCAACTTCTGTTGGTGGAAGAGACAAGTTTTGGAACTACACAAAGCTCTTCTTCTGCAGACCTAAAGAAGATCTCTGTGTAGCTTGCTTCCATCAACAGAAGCTGATATGAAATTCTATGAAAGAGGAAAAACGATTTCGCTAGTATACAGTACCTATGGAGTCCCTTGAGATTAAGGTTTACTAAATTCACCAGACAAGAAAACCTTTATAAACTTCTGGTGCTGGGACGATTCTGTTACACTTTTATGATTTCAGCATCAAGCCTTATTCATAAAAGGGAGACTGATGTGAGCTATTTTCACTTACTGTGATTTCTTCTGAATGAAGAGAAATCGAAAGGTTAATAGAGACATTTTTCAAACACGATGCTCACTGATAAGTAAGGAACTTTCTTTCTCTTACTAAGCTTTTATTTTACAATAAATACAATCTTTATTGTAAATTTAAATAGGATACATGTCCATCCTTCTCTGTACCACTTGTAGGACTCTTCCAGCAGAAACTCATGAGACGCAAAAGTTAAAAAAGACTTTGAAAGAATTGTTTAGAAAAGGCGAACTGCAAAGACAAAACAACAGTACATTGTTCCCTCCCCTCCCTTTGTTGCTCCTTTCTTATATATAAAGATGGCTTTGCACGCTTTTTTCTTGAAGGTTTATTCTGTAATGTGGAGGATTATATTTGAAATATCAGATCATCATCTCCAGGTGAACCTTAGTCTAAATTTATGTATACAGTTGCAACTGTACCTGGTACATGTGCATTGGGAGGTTTGCGTGAGGGCCTGTCTAGGTCTGGGAAGGGAAACGGAACTCTTTCGTTTGTCTGAGGAAAGTCAGAGTGTTCCATTTTCCCTGTGACCACTGCAAATGTTTATTACTGTTCCCAGTCCCTGGTGTGTGGCCGCTTCCTGTGCTGAACCACTCTGCAGAAGCCAGGAGAAGTGGGGGTGGGTGGCTGAAGCATCCGCTCTCATGGTTCCACAAACACAGAACCACGTCCTTTAGCTATGTAGAGGCAACTGGCTTGTGGTGCTAATCCAAAAGTTCTGGGAAGAAAATACACTTGAGGTGCTATGTTTCCATGTTCCTTTCAAATACTGTTCACTGGACACAGGAGCCAAGACTTTTTGGTGATGAAGTGGGGGGTGGAGGATGTGTTGATGTTCTCTGTGGTTCTTTGTACCTCTTCCGCTAGCTGAGAATACAGTCAATTTCCTCTCAAATTGCCTCCCTGTCCTGTAAGCATAATTCAGCAAATTTTCAGTGTAGAAGAAATTCAAGCTGGTTCTACAGGTTTAACAAAAGGACAAATGTACTTGGTCCACCTTTGTAGCTCACCACATCTCTCCACTGAGCAATATGTACAGGGTTGACCATCAGCAGGAACATCTCTCCGGCACTGGTGACTAGGTGTCCACCACAGGACTGGAAACCCACTTCTCTTTTCCATTCCGGTACCGTGAACAATTATGTTCTCCAAATGATGGCCAGCCTTTAATGAAGAAATAGGTAACTAGTACAAGGCACTGAACCCCCACACCAACTGGCCCCTTGATGCACTGTAAACTGTGCAACATTTTAACAACTGTACTTCACTTTAGGCTTAGTTGGTTCCTGGTGGGCTACAAAAATAGTCTGAAGGAAGGAGGCTGTAACAGTAGCATTTCTGGGATGCTAAAAAGTATCAATATTGTGGACTTTGGCAGCAAAGCTACGATATGTCGCGGGGGAGTTCTCAGGTTTCTTCAAAGGAGAAATGACAGAGAATGCTAAGCTCGTGTTTGACTTGCTAGGACATTCCAATGCTAACAGGGAACCCATTCCACCAGAAGGGCAGGAATGGCATTGCAGAGATAGCAGAGGAAGGCTGAGCAGGACCCCGGAAGACCTGCTTGTTGGCACTGACAGAGGAGTCAGGAACAATTTGAGTGCCTTAGGGTAAGGGAGGATTGGGTTCTTAGGCAGAAGGACCTTAGACATTTGTCCATCCCGTGCTTTGCTGCACATTGGGCAATCCACATTTGCCATCCTTGCCTGTCAACTGCCCTTCTATCCAAATCTTCCCATTTCATGTTAAGGTGCTTGATGTCATTCAGAACTGTTCGTTTCCATGTTATTCATGGTCTTCCTCTCTTTCTTCTTGCGTTTTCTGGCTTCCATTCAAGGGTGGTATTTGGTAAGTGTTCTTTTTCCATTCTCAGCACATGTCCCAGACACTGATGTATTCTTTTGTAGGTTAATCATTAATATTTGGAGGATTTTCTTGCCATGCTCTACTATGCTCTATCAGACATTTACATTATTTTATTTAACTAAAACAACAACGTAAAGTATTCTGGATTTTTTTCTTCAACAGCAAACATATAATATTTTAACAAAACAAGCATATGCATTTTTGAATTTAGTTTTTTAAAAGCAGGTTTATTTTTTGTTAAAATTGTTTTTAACTAAAATAGTTAATGAAATATTTTAAAAAAATTAAATTGATTATGTCAGCCAGGTCAACATAAGAAACTTAATATATTGGCTTCTGCAGCTAACTCAGTCGTCTTCACCTTCATTTTCCTGTTCATAATCTGGAAAAGAAAAACAAGCTTTCCTGCTTTTTCAGGTCCCAAACGATTTCTCAATTTGGAATGAATTAGTCCAAAGGTAGAAAATATTCTTTCTACTCTGGCAGAAGAAGCTACTGCTGTTAAAAGTGAGATTATCACTTCAACAGTCTCTCAATCCAAGTGCTTAAGTGACTTCCACCAATTCACTGGCGTTACTTTCTTTAAAACATCATCAGCAAACATATATTTCTTGAATGGTGAAATTCACCCTGAGCGCTGAAGTTTATTATAGTTGACATTATGGAGGGATGATTGCTGGATGTCCATGTCATAGCCAACTCCTCTTCCTCAGCAGTTAAGGTTTGACCCTGGTACTGAGTATTGAGAAAATTTTCAAGAAAATGAGCTGGAAATGGTGCTTGTCCCATTCTTTTTTTTAATGCTTGTAATTTAACTCTTTCATTACATATTTCTCTTTTAAGATCTCACTCAGTTCCTTCCAAATTTCAACAGCGTCAGCAATAAAACAGCTATTTCCCTGCATTTTGTTCAAGGCTACAGAAATAGGCTTCAGAGTACTCAGCATGAGTTTAACATTTCTCTTAAGCCCAATGTTGAGAACTTTGGCTGTGACAGTGCCATCTATTTTTTCACAATTTTGTTCACAAACTGTCATCAGATTAGGCCAGTTCTTGATATAGTGCTCAAAACAGTCCACTACTGAGTTTCATCACACGTCTTGTGGGAGAGTTAGCTTGGTTCCTCCCACTTTTTTCAGAGCAGCTGCTGCAAAGTGGTTGTTACGGAAGTATTTTGTAATTTCAACAACATTAGCCTTTATTTCTGGAATAATGAAGTCTTTGGCTAGGAGGTGCATGAAATGAGCACTGCAACTGTATGTTATAAGCTTGGGACATTCTTCACTCTCTTCTAAATAATTTCTTCTCATCTTGGATACATTTGCAGCATTGTCTGTGACCAAGCTGCATACTAGATATTTGGATTTTTTCCCACAGAGTATAGCTTTTACTGCTACTTCTTGTAAGTATTGTGCTGTGTGTGCATTTCCTGATGTATCAATTGTTTCTGTAAGGACGACATTCCCTTCTCCTGTTGTCACACAAGCACATAAAACAGGATCACTGTGGACATTGCTCCACCCATCAAGACTCAGGTTTACAATTTTATCCCCTAGACCTTTTGCACGATGCTCAATTTCTCTTTCATACACTTTATCCAGCAATTTGCCTGCAACATCTGCTCTGTTGGGTGGACTGTATCCTGGTCTTAATGACTGAACCATGTTAATGAAGTGTGGGTTCTCAATCATATGGAAAGGAGAGTTTGTGGCATAAACCAGGCAATTTTTTCATCAATTACCTCTTTCTGTAATCTGCTGGTTCTTATCACAAACTTATCTATGGTTGTTTCTGGATGATGGAGA